TTGTGGAGCTCTCTGATAAGATGGGGAGATCTCTTTACATCAGGTTAATGCATCTCCATGTTGAGCCTGTTTAGCAGAGCATATTCTGTCTGATCAAGCAGCCCCTGAGTGCCAGCAATGTCTTGTCAACAGAGAGAAGGACTCAGGTGAGCATAAAACTTTGTCTCTGAGACAGACTCTCCAGGGTAGGGAATCACAAAAAAATAAATTTTGGCAAAATTTTAAACAACTGAAAAGGGGTGTCTGTAATGGAAAGTGCTGAATAACCTATTTGATAGGTGTTGTATATGCGTCCATCCTACGCAAGTTTCTTTAAGGTCAGCTGAACTCTGCATCAGGAACACAGGAGGATAGAGATATGGGCCTCTTGGTCTCCTCTCCTTTCAGCTGAGATTAGTATTTTGAGTCAGCAGGGAAGCTTGTGTCTATAGTGAACCATCTCTGGCTTGACAACTGAAGCACCAAATCCTTCCCTGGCCTTTGCAACTGTCCATTGCTCCAGCAGTTCTTTGAACAAAGATCTTCTGAGCATTTCGTTAAGCGCCTTTTAGAAAGTGCCTGGGACCCTGAGGAGATTAGGTAGAAGGTACTTAAGGCTTCTCTCCAGCCAGCAGCTCGATTTTGCTTAGGAAATCTCCTGTCCTGCCCAAATTTGTTGTCTCCCTGTCCCATTGTGTCCATCAATGAGCAGCCGAGGTCCTCAAGCTGAAGAGTCAGCTGCATCTCAGGTAGTCTCTCCAGCTGTGAGCCCTGTTGAACCAGTTCTGAAGAACATCCATTTGGTGGGGTTTGCAGAACTGGTCCAGCCTGCCAGCTGGATCCTGCCGATCTGCACCGGCACACAGTCAGGACGTGGATCTGCTGCTACCAGGTTGTTCCTGCTGGGTTCTCTGAGACAATGGCAGTGGGTTGGAGTGAGTGTGGTGTGCTTAGAGAGGCTGCGAAAAAGGTATCTGCCTTTCGAGGGACACCTTGAGTGCTTGTGTCCAGAGTGGTGACAACATCCCTGGCAGATAGAGCACAGATCTCTCTGTAATTTCAGTGATGGCTTTTCAAGAGTAGCACAACAGAATCTTTATGTGGTGCTTCTCTTCATCTGCTCGCTCCTCACATTCCCATTCTTGTCCTTTTTCTGTTTCCCTGCAAATAGGCAGTGAAAAGAGATGCAAATACTTTAACAGACTGTGATGATACCTAAGAAATTCAAGATCTCCCCAATACAGACATCTAAAATCAAAACACTGGAACTCAGGGGACCACTGATGACTAGCCAGATCTGATGCAGAGAATCGGTAGACTTCTGGGAGACAAACAGGATGCCCAAGATGTCCAGGACGCCCATGTGTGCAGCCACATCAACTTCTGAGCTGGACATTTTGGGCTGCCCAGTGATATTTAGGATCAGCCCAGAACAGGATATCAGTAAGACTGCTAATATTTGGTCACAAAAGGTGAATTTTTTTATCCCTTGAAAATCTAGATGCATGAGCTAACACTTGTCAGGGTTGGGACTGGTATTTCCCATGGTACGGAGCAGAGGATGCCGTGCCAGTGGTGTTGTACAGAGCAAAGAGGTGTAAGGGAGACCAGACTCTGGAGAAAATGCATGAGGCATGAAACAGGGCTCCTGGCACACACTTCTACAATATTTGAGAGTTGAAGTGTCAGGGCAGGAAGAGCCGGAGGGTGCTGTTTCTCGGTGATTGGCCCATCAGGTCAATGAGGTGACTTGGGGCTCACGAACAGGCTGGGGAGTGGAGGAGGGCTGCTGGTTCCCTATGTCCTGCACACATGGGCACTGTGCCCCAGCAGCTGGGCTACGCCATGCCCATGGCTGTAAAACACCCCCAGCAGCCCGGAACAAACTGACCAAGTAGAAAACCACAAAATCCCAATGGTGAAAGAGAAGCTCTTGGGTCAATAACGCACTGGGCTTGGGCCAGGTCTCTCAGTGTTGCACAGGACTGAGCCTCCAAGGGACAGGGACTCTGCTCATGCTTTTCCTGACACTGGTGAAGCTGACTCTGGCAAGGGTGGACTCTGCTTCAGCAGAGGGGACAGCAGAAGAAAGAGGGATCTGTATCTCTGGGATGGAAAGAGACATTGGAGACTGTTAGAACAGGCGCTCTGGAGGTGCTGAGGTGTGCAGGCTCATGGGTGCCCACCATGGGAGAAGGTGGGACAAGGAGGCAAGAAAAATCCTGTGGTCCCCTGGCATGGGTGCACACCACCAGTGGGAAGTTTCCCCTCAGTAGCTGAGCCTGGCTGATTGCTTCTGTCTGTGCGGAGCCACCATGTCCAGCCTGTACCTGTGTCCCTCCCTGCTGTCTGCCTGGAGGAGGTGAAGGATGCTGAAGGCACCTTGTGCACACACACAAATACAGAGACGCGTTCGGGTTTGACTTGTGCACCACCTCCGCACGTGCATCCTGCGGGGGAACTGTGCTTGCCCTGCCTGGGACCACATGAGCTGGGTGACTATCACAGTCCACAGGTGAACCAGAGAGGGGAAAATGTGCAAGCAGGAATTCCTCATGGGGAATGTAGTATCCCAGGGTGTGCAGGACCCTGGCAGTGCAGCACTTGCACTGAGCCAGTGTGTATTGGGGTGCACTGGAAGTCTCTGGTCCTCCATGGAGCTGGATATGGCCGCATCATTGTGTGCCAGGAGGTCTGAGCACAGGGCTGACAGTACTTTTCTGGGTGGGTGAGCATCACCCTCCACCCCTTACCACCCCAGAGCTTTCCCCAAGCACTATACAGGAGGGTTCTGCCCCACCAGCGCGGGAGGCAGGAGGGATAAGTGGTGGGAGGGGAACTTGCACCCATTTCCTGCTGGGTTCACTTTTTGATGCCACCAGCTCCCTGGGTGTTGTCCCTGAGCGACACACCCAAGCATGCACCCAACAAGGTGCAGACATTGAATGGTGACAAAGCCCTCAGCCAAGCTTTACGGGCTGGATTGAACAGGCTTAGCCTTAGCAATTAAAAATCCCAGAGCAAATAAAAGAGGGTGTTGGTTATGGCTGCCTTTCCTTAAGTATATCTACAATATCCAACTAAGGCTTGTTACAGGCTCTTATCTGGAAGTGCATCAAGGAAATTCTTGAAGGAGGTAGTCCCAAGGGCATATGGTGGAAAAGCACCCTGAGAGCTGGTGGTGGCAGATAAAGCTGGACTCCTGGTCCAGGTATCCTGGTAAAAGTAAGGCTGTAAAACACCGAGACTCACACTGCAGTTTCCACGCTCCCGGGAGAGTTGAGAAAACTTCCTGGCTGTCTCCTGTGGTCACTACCAACTAGACAAGAAATAAAGAAAACTCAATGAATAATAATAATAAAAAAAAATGTTTCTCACCAGCTGTGAGAGACTTTATAAAAAAAACTGTCCAAGGAAATGTCTCTCTTGAGTGACGCATGGCTGGGGACCATGTCATCTGGCAATCTCCACGTGTTATGCACTAGGAGGTATATGCCCGGAGGTACTAGCCTGGCTGAGATGCCAAAAATGTAGAGACATGAGTGCAGTCTCAGCTCTGATATTCACTCACGTAGTAGTGGGTGACACCTGCCCCATCTCTGCCTTCTCTTCATCTCACATACTGTTATAAAACCATTAACCCCTTGAGGCGTGGGCTGGCTCTCGGTACATGGGAGCCCCGTTGGCTCCTGGCTGAGGCATTCTCCTACTGTTGTCATCCTTTTGTCATGTACCCTACAGCTCCGAGCACTGTGGAGCTGCTTGCTAATTAACTCTGGCTAATTGGCTCCGCTAGCCTTGCCAGCGTGCTGATGGAAAAGAACATTCCATTGGGATGCTGGGAAGGGGGCAGGATGCTGTGCAGTAGTTCTCTCCTGACATCAGATATTTCTACCTCTGTTGAGCTTTGCAAGGGTATTGCTGCTTATAGATTAAGCCAAAACTGAGCCCTTTGCAACCGTTCTTGGCTGACCTGGCCATTTCCACGTCACCATGAGCCCCTGCATGCAGTGCAGGGGCTGATGCTCACAGTGCAGGTCCCTCCTGCTCGCAAACTGTAGGACCAGGCTGCAGAACCCAGCCAAAGTCCACGTTGCCTGATCTTTCCACCCGTTGGGCAGCTGCCAGACAAGCCAAGCATGTTCCAGACAAGCCTGAGATTAAGAAAGCATAATCTCGAAATGGCCCCTTGTACCTAGTTTCTGTGTATTCAGCATTTGTCACCAGGCTGCGTGCAGGGCATGGTACTGGTGCCTTGGTGACAACCTTTGGTTGGCTTTATACCATTCTCCACTACTTTCCTGGAAAAACCTTCTCCACTGGCAAAATCTGCCCAAACCAGGCAGCCAGTAGCACACACTGGTGTGATGGGATATGCCGATGAGCATCTGCCTTCGCTCACTCACACGTCATTCACACAGAGGTTTTGATGCTAGGTGACAGCCTGGAACTGGATTAATCTTAACGACTTTGTTTGCCCAGGCTTTATCACTGAGAGGCAGCTCACACTCCCTGATCCCTCTGCTACCAAAAGCTGCCATGAGAGAGCAGTGGCTCTCCAGGACCCTCAACTCACAGCATCACCTGATGGGAAGAGCCGAGGGAATAAAGCCCAGATGCTAGCCACCTCCCATTTCCACTAAAATCCCCCTCTCCACACTCATTCAGACAGGCTCATCTCATCAAAACCAAGTTTCTGCCCATCATTAACCCACTCCAGAACATTTTAAAATCTAATGTTACTTGTAAAATGTAGCTGTCACCAGCAGTAGGGTCTGGCTCTCTCTCCAAGACCTCTGCGTTCCAACACTAGCAAAGCATCCCTGTGCGCACTGAGCTGGGGGTACCTTTTCTGTGAGGGTCCATCTGGCTGATCGATGCTGTGGGGACCATTAGGCCCTTCCCTTTGGTCTTTTTGGATGTTCTTCACCAACTCGGATGATGATACTTTGGAGCTTCCTGGCATGTGATGATGCTCCTCCAGGTACAAGTTTCCATTTTGGCTTTGCTGGAGGTGCAGATTAGTTAAAACCCAGCTCCCTAAAGGGGACCTCGATGTTGAATGTGTACCAGAAGATCCAGAAGAGGAGGCTGAAGGCTAGCAGCAGAGATCCCAAGTAAACAAAGAAGTCCCAGGAGCTTAGTGGAGCAAAAATTCCCACGAAGAGGATGATCAGCCCTATCACATCGCACAGCACAGCCAGGAGCAGGATCACAGCACATCGTCCGATGAACCCGGAGAGGGCCATGGTGGACCCCCCCAGGTAGAGACCCTCAGGGCGGGGGCAGAGGGGCTGGCAGCATCCCAGCAGTCTGTCCCTAGCTGCCTCTGTTCGAAAAGCGGCCAGGAGGAAGTACAAATGTCACAACACACCTTGCAGAACAATCGGGAGGGAGCACACGATAGTGCTTTAACTGTTTCATGGCCTTGCTGTTGCCCTGCTGGCAGGACCTGCTGCCTGAACACCCTCAGATTGGTCTGGGTGTAGGCACATCACACCCATTCTGCCTGAAAGCTGCAAGTCTGGTCCTGACCCAGCCTGCAGATGGGCTTAGACTCTTTCAATTTGAGAACATGGTTTCTTGTGTCGTTTTTGGGCAGCACTCACCGTGCAAAGATCCCAGTAACATCTGCAGGATGTTGCACCGTTCCCTTTTCTTTATAGGTAAACTGAGGCATGGGAATTTGTCCAGAGTATCAAAAAGACATTATCCTCAGAACGCTTCCAAAAGGCAGGTCTTGCTGGAAAGCCACGAATCAGACAACCTGTGTCACTGCCCATCCCAAAAATGTCAACCAAGCAAATCAGCGATGAATCACCAAATAAGGCAAAATTTCCCAGAGCTCCTGGCTTGTCTCTGAGCAGCCACTATCGCTTTGTGGGATCCAGGACTGCTGCTTTCTGCTCCCAGGTCATTGTGTGACCCTGGGCACATCTTCCCTCTCCTGCCTGTCTGGTCTGTGTGTACTTGGCAAATAAAGAATGTCTGAGAAGTGGAGCATCCCGGGAGCCCTCGGCTCTGGGAAAGCCATCCGAAGACATGAGCACTGCAGGCCTGTAGGCTGGCAGCTGTCTACCCCATCTCTTGGCCATGCAGATGATGCCAAATCTTGAGACAGGACCTTTGGGCATGAAGTCAGTGTGAGGAACTGGAGCAGTGTCCAGCTGCAGGTACCTGTTGGAGGTGGCCTTAGCTGCAGGGGATGCCAGGTGTCATGCCAGGAGTGTCCTCTCCAATCTCCTTGCCAAACCCAGGGCACCCAGGTCCTGTCTGCCACCTGGGCCATCCCATCACTGTTCTGTCACAAGTAAGGTGGTAGCTGGAGGGAATGGGGCACATTGCCTATCCTGCCTGACTGTTTCATCTGCTGCCCAGGTAATCTCAGGTGCCAGAAGTCATCGTGTTACTGCCTGCCACCTGCACCGTGCATTGCACAAATGGCGAGCACATGGCAGAGGAGACTGCCCAGCAGGGCCTTGTGGTCCTCTCTCCTGACCTTATCCAGCCTCCTACTTGAAAATTCACAGCAGCCAGCACTATCTAAGCCATCTGTTCCAGTCTGTGCTGTTCCCTCCCAATGGCAAGGGTCTGCCCATTGCAGGAGATAGTTTTTTCCCCCTTGTATGAACAATGAATGCTTTTAAACACACAACTAACTAACTCTTTTCTTCTTTGTGCATCATCACCCTCTGGCGCCTGGGGGAGAATTTGCTCTTTGCCAGCCTGGGATCAGCCCTGGATTAATGTTCAGAGGGCTGGAGGGAAGAGTTGGGCACAGCTTCTCTCAGGATCTGATCACCTTGTTTGCAGGAACCATGCTCTGAAATCTGCCGTTGTGGGTGCTAAGCTGAAAAAATCCCTTGCTCTCAAACCCAGTCTTCAGCTCCTCATGATCTTTCAGAATCTGCAGCCTCCTGAGGAGCTGAGTTGAGAAGTGACGCAGAGTTCAGGAGCAGGGTTCAGGGGCTGGGGAAGCTCCGCAGGTGACCCGGGACTCAGCACCGTGCCCAACTGCTGGCTGGCTGCTGGGCAACCTGTTGGGTGGAAACTTTCTTCTGTAGTCATCTTTCCATGGACTGCAGTGCCTGTAGATGTGGACAGAGGATGCAAAAAGAGGTTTGCAGCTCTTTGCTCCTCAGTTCAGCTGCATTTTTACGAACACACCCAAAGTTGAGTGTTAATGATGGTGGAAGTGCTCTGGCCAGTTTTCTGAGTTTGAGCCCCTTCTGTGAGCATCTTTTGAAAGGAAGGGCCCTTTCTGTGTCCCCTCTTTCTCTCACAGCTCTATCTACTTCCTCTGCTTTTTTTTTTTTCTGAATGTTTGTGTTCTGTTCACTTAATTTCAAGGAGTTCTTCCAGGTGATTAGACAGTCAATTTTTATTGTATTGGGAGACCCCCAGAAGATGCCTCAAGACTCTTCTGCCCTTTCTAGATCTCTGATCCTAATGGACATTAGACACATGAAGAGGAGTTCATCTTAGACACCCCAGGAATCCCTCTCAGACCACCTACACTCTCCAAAAACAAACAGTTTGAAGGAAAATGAGTTCGATGCAAGGACTTCAAGTCAATTCAAGCCTGTCCAGCCCCACACTGCAAAAAGTTTGTGCCACCTTGATGTCAACGGGCCAGACGAATAAGGTTCCTGCTGGGCTGCATCCCATACCGGGGACAATCCAGGAATGAAAACGAGATCAGGAAACCTTGCACATGTTCTGGAAATGTAGAAACTGGGAATCGCTGACCCCACTCCAGAGGGTGGAATAGCTGAGGTAACTTGTGTCCCTCTAGAGAAGACACTGTGGCATAGAATGGCCTGTCCCATACACCTGGTGTCCCTCTAGAAAAGCCCTGGGGCTGGGGCAGTATTTACCGCTGCAGATGGATGCATTTCAGTGATACTGAGCCCTGCCAAACAGTGCATGACAGCAATGATCTGCCTGTGATAGCATAAAAGGAAACGTGACACACTAAATAAAGTCACTCCCTGGGTTGGAAAAGAAGCCAAAGGTTTCCAGAAGTTCATTCACCTCTGATTAATGGCTCAGAAAACTGCAGACAGCTGCATTTCACTCAAAAAATACTAAAAAAGAGTAGAAAACTCTGCCTAGCTCATCTGCCTTTTTCTAGTCCAGTTCTGCTGTAGCTGGAAAGATGATGTTCGTGGAAAATGCTTGCTCCTGGAGCTGGCCCAGAACGGGTTTGCAGAAGTATGTAGCAAGAGTGAACCAGTTCTTCACAGTGAACAACGAATGTTGCTCCCCCGAGCCACATATTAGTTGGGAACAGCAAGAATTTGAGCAAGCAAATGGAAGTGGTCTGACAAAATCTTTGGCTAGAGAGAGTGAGTCAATATTTATTTAACTGCAGCATGTGGAGACAAACCTGAGAAGGACCCTTCAAAAAGTTTGTCCTGTAGCATGAGCTGAGCTTTTATGAAGTATTTGCCTGAGGATAAGAAAATGGATGAGCAGTAAGATGCTGCTTCACCAGGAAACCCCAGGTCGGTTCATGCAGTGACCTCCAGCTGCAGCTCCACGGCTCGGTGCTGGTTGTGCCTATGGTGATGAATAGTTCAAGCTGCCATAAACGAATGTAGGGGCTGCAAATGAGCTCAGCTTTGGCAGAGGTGAGCAAACTCTGTCCTGTGGCACAAGAGAACTCGTTCCCTTCCAGGGCCAGCAGGTCCATGCAGAGCTGTAACATTCGTGGTACCCGTGGCTGCAGGAGCGATGCTGTTCTCCAAGCACTCTCCTCTCAAATCTGGGTGTAGGGAGAGTTTCCCTGATCACATGAAATCTCAGAGCAATCTATATTGAACTCTCAGGATGCCTACTTGCACCATTTCCCCACAAAAATCACTGATTGATAGACACTGAGTGATTGTACCTCTTCATACATCTGGGAAAGAAGTCCAGATATCCTGGCAGGACAGGAATAGCCCTGAATTAGGAAAGATTCCTTCCCCTAGTGCACCTTCCTTGCTGAGCCCTGCCTGGTGGTGCTGATGCCCTCCCACACAGGACAATGCTTCAGAGCATCCTGGTGCATGGTGGTTTAGCACATGTTCCCCTCTGCTGAAAGAAGCTCCCATAGCCCAGCCCACACGGATCAGAGGGTGTCCCTCACCCTCTGCCCAGCTTTGTGCTGTGGCCATCATCAGGCTGTGGCTGGCACACACCTGTGGTAGGTACACGGCAGTTGAAAGCTTTTCTGTGAGATCTACAAATGCTCTCCAGAAGATGCCAGCAGCTGGAGATGCTCCTGTGCAGTCCCACTTGCCAGAGCTGCGCAGCAGGATTGGGGGAGCAGCAGTGCCAGGGTCTGACCTACACGGCAGCGTCTGCGAGTGCTGGCAGGCACAGCTGTAAAAATATCTCAACAGGGTCAGCAAGCACAAACTGGCTTGGACTCACACCTGCATGGAGAGCAGCCAGAGGGCTGAGGAACTCTCCCAGAAGCTGTGCCCTCGGGACAGCTTGTCTGTCGGCTTCTCCACAGACCTGATGTGTGCGGGCACAGCGCTGCTTGCCTTGGGAAGTAACTCTTTCCCTGTCCCAAGCAACAAGTGTGTCGAGCTGAGGTCAGTACAGGTGAGGAATATGCTGACAATGTTGGTTATGCTGGCTGGTGGTTTCCAGCCACCCCTTCACTGCACTGGAGCTCAAAGACCTGGGTTTAAGTTGCATTCAGGGATGGAAGTCAAGCAGAACTGGAAGGAGGGGTGCTGGCTTACCCCATCCCCAAGCACTGTGCAAAACTTGGCATAATCTGTCACGCTAGCCCAAAGCACGACCCTAAGGGCTGGTGCAGGTAGGGTGCAGACCAGACCTCGTGCTTGATACCCTACCCTCCCTAAACCTGGGGAGGGTTTCCAGCTGGGGCTGGGAGAGGACCCACAGAAGTCAGAAAAACCAGACCTTCCACTCTACCTACCCAGTGAACAGAGAGGGGAACCCCTGCACGAGATGATGGCTGTAATCACTGGGGAAAAGCAGAGTAATTGTCAGCTGCAGGCAGAGAGAGGGGCTGAAGCTTTGCACGGTGAGGATTTCAACTGGGAGACACAAGGGCCCATCCCTGCTGCGGTGCCTTGGTCTCTCAGTCAGAGATGCCACCGGCTCTCACCATGGCAGAGGCATTGCCACACACACCCAGCACCTCCCATAGGGCAAGCCTGGTGACCTGCTGCCTGTTTACCTGCAGTGATCACTGATCTTCTCAGAAGGGCTGGGAGAGGCTGTCAATCATGTGCCAGTTGGGGTTTATGGCTTCTACTGCCCTTGGAGATGGCAAAAGCACACTGGGAGCTCAAACTGCTGCCCTAAGCAACCACTGGGGTGTGCCAGCATCAGCTCAGGTGTCTCCTAATCTCAGCCACACATCAAGAGCTCACAACCCTTAGGAGCTTCCCCGCAAAAGCTTTGCCTAGAGACTCAACTGACTATCCCATGGGGACACACATGTGGGATGCCCTTCTGAGTGCTTTGACCCTTCACAAGTCAGTCAGGATGTTACTACAGAGCTTTATTTTCCCTTAAACACTCCCAACTTAAAGCTTTCAGTGTGTCACCAAGTGTGGAGGACTCAAGTTTCCACCTCCTTCTCCTCCTCCTTGTTCTGTACCTCATCTAAGGACAGCCTTGGGAGCCTGAACACTGTTTTCATTACCTGCACCCAGTAGGGACTTTCTGAGCTACTTTCAACTCTGCAGACAGTTTATCCATCCTCCCCATATCTTTGCCACAAAGGTCATGGAAGAACTTTCCAGTATTTCCTTCCACCTAGAGAAGACAGGCAGCAGGATGGGCAGGAGCCAAGCCTGGCTGAGACCTCCACTAAGGGCTTTTGCCCAGAATCAGAAACACGGGCAGATTCTGATGAGGCCGCATTTCGAATAAGAAAACATAACTACCTCTGCTACCTTAACACCCAGCTCTGGCTGGGGGAACTCATAGCCCTGGGACTTCACACACGTGCCCAGGCAGCTCGGAGGCATTTCCTCCCCTGGAAACACCCAGGTCACAGCAGTAGTTCATCTGAGTGAGGAATAATCAGATTTCTGATCTCTGATATGGTTCAGATGAAAGCCCAGCTTCAGCATTCTTTCTCCTTCCCTAGCAAGTTTAAGGGGACAAGCTGGGGCACATCTGGTCACATCTGCCTCTTGCAGCTTTCCCGTTCCCTTCCCAGCAGTGCCATGAGATAAATCGGAGCTGGTTTGATAGTTTCTGTGTAACTGACACCTACTGTGAAAATAGGAAGGATTGGGTTTTTGTTTGTAGCATTTCAAATTCACCGTGCCTTGAGAGTCCTCAAACTTCCTACTCTGGGTACTGCTCATTAAGGACAGGGAAGGGCTGCTGCTGGATTTGAGCGAGGGATGGGCAATGGCAGTTCATCCCAGCAGGATGTCGTCTGCTCCTTATGGAGCAAGGCAGCACCAGCAGCATTCCAGGGGGGCTGCTGATACCCAGAGGCTGGGATGAAGCTGACATCTCAGAGGGAATTTGGGTTATCAACCACCCTCAGCCGTGGTTTCAGGCAGGAGTGGTAGAAATTCTAGGGGCAATATATATGTGGGCTTACAGACACCAGTTGTCACCTTCTTCCTCTCACAGTTAAATCTATACTGCAGAGGAGCGGGATTAGTGCTAGTGCAATTCTCAGCAGCAGCTTTGGAAATCTGCAGCTTACACCAAAGATGAATCCAGTTAATGTGAAGTGAGATAAAAAAAAAGTTAGTGGCCTTAGAGAGAGATATGCAGCACAAGTGTGCAGTATCTTCAAATTTTTTAAAGCCCAGGAATAAAGAAACCACTGCAGACACCTCGAAGCAGGCAGGGTGTCAACCGGCAGCCGAGCCTGCTCGGCGGGGTTGCTGGTGGGGGCTGACCTTTTGCTGGTGGGGGCTGACCTTTGAGATGCAGGAGAAGCACTTCCTCTTTGAACTGCTCTGCAGAGATAATGAATTTTGTAATGGATTTCCTGTTCTTTTTATAGAACAGGGGAAGCTGGCAGAACCATCTAAGCTTGCTTTAGTGGAGCTGGACGTAATTATGTTTGCTGGATAACCTGATATTTTCTTAAAATGTGGTTTTCTTTGGCATCACACCGGGATTCAAGTAGGCTTCAGTGGAAGTAGAGAGAAATATCAGGGAGCAATCAAGCAGTGCTTTGCAGGTGTTTAGGAATAACCCAAAGATTTGAACTGCCCTGTGATCAGACCAAAGGTGCCTCTAGCTCAGGAGGAGACAGCACGTGAGCCCAGCCCTTTCTGCCACATCCATGGTCTTCTCCAGCATCCACTACAGTGATGTTACAGAAGTTAGAAGGGACATTCCTCTCTGCTACTCCTGCTATCTCTTTTTTGGCTCTATTCTCCATAAACCCATCTCAAACTCGTGGGTGTCTCCTATCTCTGTAGCCTCCCACATCCGCAGCATGTAGAAATCCACTAGTCCCACAGCACACAAGCAGGGTTTAATTTTTCGGCAGCCCTGTGGGGTTTTGCTGGGTTATAGCAGCAGATGCTTTTTATGTCTGCTCCTAACGAAACCCTTGTCAACAGCCTCCAGGATACCCTGCATCTCTGTTTCCCTCAGTTGCTCCAGCTCAGACTCTCTTACTTTAAGAATATGATGTATATCTCAGTGCTGGAAGCTCTTTGCGTTGCATACACAAATGCAAAGGCCACCCAACTTCCCGGCAGTAATTATGCATTTATGTCACCTGTAACAAAGTGCAGAATTCCCACTTTGTTGCTGGACTTCTATCTGCCTGTTGATCTTCAAACTCTTAATCAAGCTTTCCCTCCAGTCAACATTTCTGTCTCTTTACTTCGCTGTCCTCCTATAGATCTATGCAGATGGTAGTATCTACCTAATAAATCCCCTCTCCTCTTTCTCAGCAAGCTTTGCTGATCCCTGGGCCTTTACCCTCACCTGGGCTTCACCCTCTTGCCAGGAGCTTTCGCAGTGCCACCTATGCATTCCTCACATCTCAATGGAGGTGTCCACTGAGCACATCCATAGACCTGAGACCCTCACCCGGTGCACATGGCCAGCACCCAAACAAACTTGCAGCACAAAATGTTCTCTTCTACCTCCTGATGTCCTTAGTGCTACCCTCCCCATCACACCATCATCTGTCCCAAAAACCCTATAACACAGCCTCCCATCTCTACCAGCCGGCACAAGGTGACAGATGTGAGACCAGAGCAGCAATGTGGAAGTCCCTTGGGAAACTTCTGCTTTAATTAAACCTAATATCCTTGTTACAAATGACCAGTCTGGAATCCCATTAGATTCTTGATCTTCTTATCATATTAACATAAGAAACGACTTAACACTTCACTGACCGTCTCCTTATCCTCGGTCGTGAGACACGGAAGGCAGGTCCCCTGCTCCCTCTCTCCAGGCCATTTGGTACTTCTAGTCCTCCTGTCACATCCCTTTGGACAGCTAGCGCAGGCTGGGCAGTCTCTTGCCACAGCAGAGCTATTCGCAGCAGGGTCCTTTCCAGGTGCCTTCTGAAGAAAGTGCAGCTTTAGGACACCTGCCTGTGACCAGATCTGCAGCTGCAGCCAGCAGGGAGCTGGTGATCTCTTCACGTTGCTCCTTGATCTCCCCCCTCATGAGTTCTGACATTTGCCTGCTCTTCTGGCTGCGGCTACCCCCCAAGCAGGAGTTTTGCACGAGCATCCTCTGCCCTCTGCTCATTGAAGATAAATCAATAGAGATTTCTGTCTCGTTCCAAGTCAGGATTGCAAAAAACAAGCAAAGTGTTGCACAGCTGAGGAGCAAACAGAGGTGTACTGGGTCCAGTGCCAGACCATACACCTTCCACATCCCATTCACAAACCTGGTGCTGGCTGGCAGGGGACACACATGTCTGCACCATGCAGGAAACAAAACTCAGGGCCAGGCTGAGCTTGGGGCAAAGGGACGTGCACTGCTGGAATACTCATAATCCAGCTCTGTCAGCTGGGAGCTGCTCCTCAAGGTCTCCCAACACTGATGGGGGGGATCTCGAGGTGCATGACACTGGCCTGCATTGGTCACACCTGGTGGGGTCGTGACAACCACATCAAGGTGAGCCCGAGCTCCCTGGTTAGTCATGTTTGCCAGGCTGTGGTAGCACAAATGCTTCCAACTTGACAGCTTTTGGCCATGGGCACCTTGGACCATATTTGCAAGTAGAAATGCTGGTGTGGCACCAATTTTAGAAAGAAGGGAGTTGACTGGAGATGGCCAAGAAGACATTAAATATTTCCCTCAGGGAATCAACTTTTGGCCTCGGGCACAGTTCCCACAGCTGCAGCTTCATGATCCTTGACTATACCGAACTCGTTTCCCTTTTAACTGACCTGCTGGGTGCCCCCCAGCCTGGGGCAGCAGGATCTGTTACCATCTGCTTTGTCCTGTCTCCTGATGCCGTGCATACAGAGCATACACCAGACCAGCGTGTCTGGTGAATTAGAGAGCTCGAAGGAATAGTGGCTTCAGGATGTTGCAGAGGCTGAAAGTCCAAACTGATTTTAAAAACCTGTCAAAAAACAGAGGGGGTGGGCATGTATCTCTGGCCATTAAACAATGGTCTGAGTAACCTTTGCCTTAGCTCTGAGCTGCTGTTAAGTGGAAGGTGGGCATTAACCAGGAAAAAGGTTATTGTCTGCACACCCCACTCCTTGTGTTTCACTCCAGAGTTCCTTGGGAGCTGCTGGTAGATGTGAGATTACTGTGTTAGAGAATCCTAAGGGGGTTACATGAGCTTCCTCTCCTCAGCAGCTGATGGAGGTTATCATACCCTCTCTGTCAGAAATCAAAGAGCAAACACACAACAAATTCTCTCTGTGCACCCCCTGCCAGCCTTGCAGCCTTCCAGGTCATTCAGAAGAGCACCAGGGCTGCCTCGGCTTCTCTGAAGGCTTTGCAGACTACAAAGAGGAGCTTGGTGGGGTGTCCTCTTCTGTGTTCCTCTTCTGCTTCTGTTCAGCACAACCACATCCTCACCCCGCAGTGTCAGGGCTTTTCAGCCAGTGCTTTGGGTCTCTCACTGGACTGATGAGGGGCTGTTGTGGGATCCAGACTGAATCAGTGCTTCTGAAAAAGAGACTGAACCCAGAACTGGGAGCTGGACATTATGGCCCTCATTGTATCAACCCAGATCTTGCTCTCCAGACTGAGACCAGTTCTTCAGACTGAGAATTTGGGTTTCAGATATGTCTTTTAAAGTAAATCAGGCCTACTGAAAATAGAAAATTAAAGCAAAAACCAAGCAGAAAGGACCCGTGCTTGCCTTGGTGAATAGCCTCAGGGCACATATTTATTAAATGCACAAATAGAGTGGTGGAGATAATGAACCTGTCTCTCTTGCCTGTGGTCTAATTCTGGTTGCATGAATAGGCTGAAAGGGTTTACAGGTGGCTCTGGCTGTCAACATTAGTGCAAAGGGACAGATGCTGAAAAACAGCTGTGTCCTGTGAAGGCCTGGGGGATCAGCCTTCTTAAACAGCCTCTGCCAGAGGGAGCGAACAAAATGCTGCTCCTTGACTTGACTCCTTAGAGAAATAAATAAAGCTCATCCATGTTCCATGCTGAGCAAGGAGTGAGTTCTGGTTTGCAGCTGTGTCTCAGCCAGCCGTTGTCGCAGACCAATGACAGGGAAGTCCTGGCCATCGGCAGCACATCTGGTCCTCCTGAGTTTGGGTGATGTATGTTGCCTGTTTGGTGGCCTCCTCTGATACAAAGTGGTCTAGAACTACATTGTCCTGCTTCTTCTCTCTACCAAGTCTGGATAAACCAGCTCTGGCCTTCCAGTTTCGACATCTGAGCTGCAGTTTTCAGTCACCAATGTTCACACCAGGCTTTACTCACACTCTGTAGTCTGTTGGCTCCTCTCTGCTGATGCATCTTGCAGAAGCTACTGGGTGGAGCCAGGTTACTTAGGAGCTCTGATTTTCCCAAGATGTGACATTTGAATTGCTCATTGGACAGAAAGAGGATGCAAGGAGCTTGAACCTGCCTTGCTGGGCTCAGCTGTGAAATTCTACTGTTTTCCTGGGATGACTTGGATGAAAAACAAAGTTTGTTTTCACACTGGAGACTCATACAGTGAGTTTCACCTGTAGGGAAGAGACTTACTGGGATGAAATAATCTAGGAGAGTACAATAACATTTTTCTTTTAATGAGTAACCAACGCGGGTGGGTAAAGGGGAGGGGACCCTTCCCAAGAAGGTCCTGGCCTGCCCTCAGCGGTTAAAGAAGAAGGACTTGAGGCTCTGCAGGAACTGTGACTTTTGTCTCTGCTTCTGCTTCTTCCGGATGATGGGGATCCACACAAGGCCACAAACGAGGAGCATCAGTCCCAAGGATAGGAAAGCTGGGCCACACATCTTGTAAACATTTTTGTTCTTGATTTGGATGCAAGACAGGCTAGTGATGACCATTCCAAAGAGAAAGATGGCTGCTCCAACAGATACAACAATGACGGGCTTGTGGTATATGTCCCACTTGCTTCTGGATGCGCTGGTCCAGACGGATTCGCTCCGGGAGCTGATGTAGAGGGTGCTGGCCGTGTTACTGGTCATTAACTCCTTGGACTGGGGAGACTTTTCGCTCTCATCAGGACTTTTGGGGGGAATTTCCATGGTGATAGGATCTGAGGAGGAGACCTGAGATGGACAAAAGAGAAAAAGCAAAGCAGGGCTAGTGATGGAGGAGGAATCAGGTGCTTTCCCTTTGGTCATTAACTAGTGTCAAGCCAAATGAAGCTGGAGAAGGTTTTGTGGGTCACTGCAGGGAGTGAAAAACATCACACCTTGGAAAGCAATGAAATGTAGGAATGAGCAATGGGGCCTTGCAGGCTGGACTAAGGATGTATGAGGAGTCCCACTGCACACTCAAGGACAGTGGGACTCCCACAGTTCCTGTCCCTGTCCTTAGGCCTTCCAGCTCACCAGCTTCCACCTCCTGCAGGGATTCAGTAGTGGGATGACTGGATGTTCACTGGAATCCACCACCCTGAGCCTTCCAGGGCTCTTGGCTGCTTTGAGGGCAGTAGTGGGGTTTTGCAAGCAGGGCTGGTGATGCTGATCATATACCCAGACCTGCTTTCCCTCCCAGATCCCAAATTACACCTCAGCGCCTTGTGGCATGGACATATCTCCCTCTTGCAGCTGGGAAAGCTGAGACATGGATGTGCCACATCAGGACCACTCAGAGGGTGAGCAGAAAGCATCTCGCTGTAGGCCGAGAGCTTCCTTCACTGGAAGTTCTTCACTGCCACATCAATCCTAGACATGTCAGGCCTGTAGTAGCTGCAGCAGAAGAGCTTCTCATTTCCTATTCCTAAATGCTCGGATGGGAGATGGGGAAATGCTCGTCACATATGAAATATTTCTCCAGCTGTGAGCTGAGCCAGGAAGCTTGAGCTCAGTAGCAGGAGCACACTGAAACCCCCTGCCTTGAGACAGTTGGATTAGCAGTGTGGCTTTTTCACCCATTATTTTTTCACCAGTTCAAGGAGGAAATACATTTTCCCAGAAACAAAGTGCATTTAGCACAGAGAAACCATTACGGTAAATGGGAAAGGCTGAGCATTACGTTAACCACCATTTCCTCAGGTCTCTGCTGAGGAGGAGAGGACAGGAGACTGGGATGGGGAGTGCTCCTGATGCACGCTCTGGCCTGCTGCTGGGAAACCCAGCACACATGAACCCCCTCAGGTACCAGGGCTGAGGAGAGCAGGAGAGGGCAGGATGTGGACGCTTCATGCCCAGGAACCAGATTGGTTTTGCAAAGCAAACTCCTGCCTGAGCTGTCAGGCTTTCTCCCAGGGGCTCGGCTGGGACTGACCTGTACCCTGATGGTCACTGGGGCTGTCCTCACTCTTGGGGCACAGGGATGCTCTGCAGCAAGAGTACCACAGAGATGCCTGCAAGGAGCAGCCCAGGAACCTGCATCATCCTTCTGCCAGCACCACAAAGCAGAATCAGCAGCGACTGCAGCCAGCCCCAAAGCTGTCCCTGTGGGGCTGCCCCATGCAGGGCAGCAGTCAGGCTCAAGCCACATCCATGCTGGCCTGGGCACAAGACCTCAGTGGAGGTCAGATGGATGGGCAGTGCTACCAGGGCTCTGTGCCTGCTCCACTGTAGAGCACAGCCCTTCCTAAGCACCATGCAAGATTTAAGCTTAAGTTTGCTCTGTTCAGCCCTGGCTGCACCCAGACCAGCTGCCAACCCATGGGATATCTCACCAGGAGGTGCACATCACAGGTGATACTGAGCTGGATTTGCACTCTGACTGCAGCTGCAGCAGGCAGCAATGAGCTGAAGGTGAGATGAGCATGAAGCCCTGTGGCTCCAGCTCTTTCCTTGTTGCTGTGGATGAATGTGAGAGCATGTACCACGTGTGTGCGGCCGCACGGAGGCTGCAAAGGTGGCACAGCTCCAGAGGTACCATCTTAAGGAAACCTACCTGTATTTGGGTCATACTGGGCCGACTGCCCACCTAGGGATGCTCATGGCTGGGTGCCAGCCATCACTCCCTTATTCTTTCAACTCTGTCCCCACCAAGGTTTGTGGTTTATTCTGAAAAGAGACAGACGTAATTTTTTTGTTTGGTTCCCCCAACTGAGACACTGTGGCAGAAATGCAGATCTGGTGGGATTGACATATTTTGTGATGTTTCAGGTTTGCCAAACTTGGACCAACAGACAAAAAAAAAAAGCCAGGAGTGATGGACACAATTGGTATCTCTCCTATTTTCAATCCTCTCTGTTGAACCAGGAGAGGCAAGGGTGGATGAAGAGACATTTTTGCCATCCTGATACGTCTTCTACAGCACTTGGTCAGTGATGATCAAGCACTTGGCAAAGCAGGGAAGTTTGGTCATAGTGCTAGACTGATTGCAGTGGAACACACTGACCCTTTGGAGAAGCTGCCATGAGATATTATTTTGATGGCTACAGCCGTGTGAGACATTCAGGTGATCAGGTATCACTTCCTCTGCTGCCAGCCTCTGTGATGCAGCTCGCATCACTGCTCCTCTAAGTTGTGGCTGAGACAAAAAACAAATACTGGCAGCAATGTCCAGTGTCCTGAGGAGACAGTGAGGCTGGCCCTGGGTGGGCAAAATCCTTTGCTTCTCCTTCCATCTTAAAACCTGCCCAGGAGTCAGCCCAGCCCTCCAAACAAAACAAAAGAACTCATACCAACTTCCTTGCTTGTAGCATTGCTGGGTTGTGATGCCCCTCTTCCACCTCAAATCTTTTGCAAGGCTCTTCCTGGAATTTCATCCTAGGTAAGCTGTGGTATTTCTTGGCTTTATCCTTGTAACGTCCATTTTGGAGAGGTTTTGTGATCAAGCCACCGTATAATTTTAATTTGTCTTTTTGGCTGGAAATTTGCTTTCTTCTCTGAAGTAATTCCCAGCTCTCATACCTCAGCAGCCTAATGCAGCCTGTCCTGCCCAATTTTTCAGGAACCCATGTGCTACTGCCTTCCCTTGGCATCAGAGGATACTCTGAGCTCTGCAAAGCACCTTCCCCTTCATTTTGCAGGGCATTAATGTCAGGCTCCTGCAGAAACCATCATCTTCCTTTCAGGTCTGCATTTACATTAGAGTGATTTTTTTTTTTTTAATTTCCACCCTTTTATTTTATGGCATAACCACCCTGCTCACCAATTCCCAGACACTGATTGTATTTCTGGCACTTGCTGGCAGAGCATACATTTTTTTGGTCACACTTTTCCATGCTGTTAGCTAGAGCAAAGGATTCCACTCCCTGCAAGCTGACAGGAGTGTGTGAGGAACTGCGTGTATCTGCAGCTCTTAGGAAAGCTAATGTTATTTCAGTTCCTGCTCTGCCCGTGCTCCAGCCCTAATCCATCACAGATGCACTCGTATTTGAAGATATGATGGTTGTACTGAGTAGCCTGACTGGATAATGCAATCATATTTCTCCCATTTTTTTTTAATTGTTATTGTTGTAAGGAGAATGTCAGCAGATGACTGTTTGCTGGCTTGAAAATGCCTCCAGAGCACATCTCAGATTTCACGTCTGGTGTTGTGCTACTGCTGTCTCTGAAATCTTCAGCAGCTCTCAGTGGTGGAGCTAATACTGGGGTCTTTCTTTTCTCCTTCTGTAAGGAAAAGCCTCATGGGATTCTATTTCTCCTTCCTTGTTCTTCTAGTGCTTTGTGTGGTGATGTTTGGTTTCTGAGCTGGGAGATCCATGGGGGCCAACTTGCTTGTGCTGCTGGCCACCCCAGTGCCAAAGCAGCAGAGCACACACTTGGGGACACCGCATGGTGGTGGTGAGGAGAGAGCTTTGGACTGAGCAGAGCTCCCCAGAGCTCTGACCCAGGTCCCTCAGCCCATCCCGGCTGCAGGTGGAGTTCCTCACCTGCCACGCCCCAGCAGTGGCAGTTTTCGGGACTGACACTGCAGACCAGGACCTGAGATGCTGCAAACAATTTACAGATATGGCCAGAGTTGTGTTAAAAGTGTGACAGCAGCCCAATCTGAAGAGCTTTCTTTTATACACAGGCCTCTGTTCCCCTGGCCATCCAAGAGCTGGACTTTGCCAATCCAGTCCTCAGCCTCGCCATCTCCTTCTTACATGGAGAGGAAGACTTGATTCTTACATGGTCCTCTTAAGTAAGTCCTCACAGGTGGCAGTTTCTGCCACCTCTTCCTCCCACTTTGCACAGCTGGAAACGCCAGAGCTTCCCCAGCTCAGACAGTCTCATCCTAGGGATTGGTGCCCATCTCCCTCTGGCTCTTTCACTCTAAGATCCCTCCCAGTATCCCTAAGCAGAGTTGGATTTTGCCCTGGGACTAAGTGAGGGCCATCCTCTGGGAACACTGGGCTGCAGCACTTGGGATCTCTGCCCCATATTTTACCACAAAAAATTGCTGGAGGAAAAGGATTTTACAAACCAACTGGCAAATGTTGTGGGAGTCCAGACAAAGTTTATGGATATGTTTTGTTGCCCTCTGTGCTGTCAAGCCACTGCCCTGAAGGATATTCCCCACCCCATCAGGGATGGGACAAGTGGTAGTAGAAGCTCCTGCTCTCCTAAGGCAGATTCACCTCCAGCCCCACATCCCTCTGGGAATCACCCGTTATGGAAAAGCAAGTTTTGAGGTAAAAATAGAGTGAGCTCTGCACTCCATGGCTGTAGCTTGCCCTGATTTATGCTGGGGAGAGGCAAAGAGACCAGCCTGGGTTGAGGAGCAGGCCTGGCCAGGCTTTACGTGAAGGCTCAGACCCTGTCATTCGTCCTCAAGCATGCGAAGGAAGTGAGCTCCGGTCTGCCTGGCACCAATACCACCACTGGGTTTGGGTCAATGGCCAGACTTGGGATGGTCTCTGGGTGAAAGGCAGCATCAGGTGCTTTGCAAAGCTTTGGGGTAAGACCCAAAGGATTTGCTTGTCCTTCAGCTAGAAAACATGTCCTGCCTGCCACCCCAATGGGTGGGCAGCAAAGTCCTCGCTGGTGGGTCCCAGCTAGCAGTAAACCATAATGCTGAGGAATGGAAGAAAACTAAGAAGTGCTTTTTTGAGCTTTTCCTGCTGTTCTGGCCTGTCTCAGCCTGAATTTTTAAACACTCATTATGTTTAACCTCAGGATAGGACCTCCCA